GTTATTACGAGGAGTTGAAAAGGAAGAGTTATAAACCTTGATTTGAATTGCCAACTCTTCTGAACCATTATCCATTCACGACTCTGTTGTGCTTAATTAGAAGGCACGGCTTTTCACCCACGTCAATGTTCCGCATTGGCGTTAATTCTTTTGGGCGTTCATATGTGCACACTCTACTAAAAGATAAATACGAGAGTGCCCCTCAGAGCTTTCAGTGCTCTCTCTCTCTCTGTATAGAAAGGTGAGTTGGAACCATATGTTCGTCTGAGGGAACCAAGTGCATGAAGGAAAAGCGAAAGAGTAGTTCTGACCTTATTCCTCATCTTGTTCCGTTTCAGCGAAAATGATACGCACAATTATTTTTCTCACACTGATTACCTCCATGCTGTGTATGTTGCTTTATAAAACAATAGTCCAGTTCCATTTCATTTTATCATGAATGATTAGGGTAAATGAAGACTGTATGTCCCTAAATTTAAAACAATTTTTTATCATTGCAGGCTTAATGTTGGAGATAATAAACATAGAGCTGAATAAGCCCTTCGCTTACTGTTACACGTCTTGTGACGCACAGAGAGAGAAAGTTCTCTATCTTTTCATCATTTTACGCTAAAAATCTTCTAGGTACATTATAATATGCGCTATTAAATTGCATTAGGTTGCATCACCGAAAGAGCAAGTTCAACAAGGTACCTCTTCTAAACTCTGCGAAATAGGAAAGCTATGTTTTGAATACTTCACGGGTAAGCACTTTTTTATTGAAAATTCGCATTCGTTAAACATACGGTTGACATTGACACAACTACGTTTGTATACAAACTATTAACTTAAGTTTTCATATACTTAGGTATTGTTCCTATTTGTTAAAACCAAATATTTATTCACAGATACGCAGTACGCAATTCTATCTCCACACCCGAATGCACGAACTGGCATCATCGTAGCCTATCCCACGAATAAAATAAGATTGCCAACCGCCATAGTTGTTAAGGGGAAGAACGAAACATCACGCGGTATATACCTACCTATTTACCTGAAAAATATTTGGGACAGTAAGAAAAATGGTAAAATGCAGCTATAGGAGTGCAATTGAAAGTCGTGTCTTATTTCGTGAAAATGGTTTCCAATGCGTCAATTGAGAGGAATAAATATGCCCTTTGCTGCTGCTTTTCCTGAAGCAGGTCCGCTTTCTGTTCAAAATAAGCCACATCGCTAACGGTCAGTATAAATGAATTAGCAATATATTTAAAGAAACTGATTAAGCGTGAGATCCTTTTGTAGTAATGTAAAACGTCATTCTAGAGGAGATCAAGTGCCTTCATTTCTTTATTCTTTGGAATGCTGACACTTATTGAAATTCAAACCACTAAATTTTTTCTTTTATCCAGAAACGTCGGTTCCCTCCGATGATGGCTTCAATACTACGATTGAAGCGGACAAACGTCTGAACCAATCCATAATACTTGTGTTTTCCGAGAGTGTTAAGGTATGTTGAAAGAGTCTGCAAAGTTGGCTGTCCTCAGAAAGTTATCTTTAGCTCCTTTCAGATGCTAGTTTACGTCCAACGTATATTGTTGATGTTATTTTAGGAAAATAAATTTCTTTGAAATATTCAGTACATTGACACTGACTCAGATGATGGAATTGCACACTTCTGTAAGTCCCTAGTCCTAATTATCTCCGCGAAAACATGACTGAGATTTTCTGCTAATGTTGCATAACTAACCAGTGAAATATATGCATATATATATGCTAATATAAGCGAAAATGCATGTTCCTGGACATAATTGAGAAGGTAAGGCGACCACGGGAACCCACGGTTTATCGTCCTGACGTTTCGGAATCATACAAGCTTCCACCGCCTCCTGACGAGACGAGCCCACGGCCGCATGATAACAACAGTCATTGGCCTGCCTAGCTAATTTTACCCATAAATACTGTGACAATTCGTGTGACTATTACCTTTGACAATGGAAGCTTGTATGATTCCGTAACGTCAGGATGATAAACCTTTGGTTCCTGTGATCGCCTTACCTTTTTGCATTAGAATGACGATAAGTTTAAACCAGAATGGCCATTTCTAGCTTATTAGCCGCCATCAGTCAGTCCTATCAAGTCTCAAGTGTGAATTAACCAGTTCTACCTTATCACTATATACTAACTGTCACTATGCGACCGCCTGCAAGGATCCTTAAGCGAGCTCTACTGCACAACAGGCGTCATATCTTTCTTAACATGATAATTGCATCCAAACTATCACGCATACATGTTTATATCAAAGGAATGACAATAAAAAGTACTTGCGTGGATTGACTAGACTGGTTAAAACTAATGGCCGACTCTAGCGACATTAAAAAAGTTAAAGGTGAATTGCAGACATGACATACAATGACTTAAGCTACGCAATTCTGTATACTTTTCCCTAAGCTATATATTGAAATTTAATGATAACAATGTGAGTGTGGGAATCTACTGTGTTCCATCTTAATTTGAGTTAAGCGACCAGCAAAGTCAGTGCTTTGATCGCGCGCTTTTATTGCAAACCTCTTCAAATAGCTATCCGAAAAACGGATTTCGTCAACCTTAGCAACTTTGCTTTATTTCATTCACCTACAGTTGCTGAAAGTTCCCTGGGATCGACTCCCACCCTGCTGACCGATACCATGGTAGAGCTCAAGGAAGATACCGTGTTGAAATACGCATTATGGTGTTCGAACGGTGAAAAAGCTCTTTTGGACATCGCTTCTGCTGAGGATTTCCCATAGAGCGTATCGCCTTGGGCGACGCGTTTGAGCAAACAAGTATAGCGTCGAATACGCCAACTGGCGGCGCCTTTGGCGGCGCGTGCTTACTGAAGCCCTGCAAATTTCTTCTTTTTATCCTTGCAGTCATTGCATGTAAAGCAAATATGTAAATCGACACGGAAACCAGTTACTTGTTTGTACTTTACGAGCATGTAATACAGGTTAATGGAATATTTACGTATTTTTCGTTTTAAAATAATAATAATAATAAGGGGATAAATGGCTGCATGCAAAATCATTTGTAGAAATGTTCAACATAGGTTTCTTAAAGATCAAGTAAAGCACTGGTGATCATTAGGAATTTTTATGTCCCTAGTCAATTTCCATAATGTTCTTAAGACACATTAAAATAACCACACTTACAGCTAAAGGAAATTAACGCAACGACATCTGAGTAGGATTGGAGGAGGTTGTTTCTTACCGTGATAGTAGTCTTTTTAATCTCGGTGTATTTTAATGCTTTAACAAAGTGAATTCATTGAGCAATGCAAACTGCGCACTGCTTAACAACATCCAGACAGATAAAAATTATTTAGTATTATAGGCTCAAGTTCAGAGTTAAAAGGATGACGTTTTAACTGAAAGCAAATAAGGTACCACGTTTTCTATAGATATATCTTTGCACCAACGAGTTTGGCCTTCATATTATCTAATTGTCGAGATAATTGCAGTAATGTGGGTTTTAATAAAACAACCTGCGGTTACGGTGGTCGATTTTATAACTTAATTGTACCTAATGTACATACTTAATGAAGTGCCTGCCCTTGTATCTTTAATATAATGTAAATGTGGCGGCGTCCATGTAAATCTGAGTCGCTTCCTGTGGCTTATGCTCCGTGCTCATCCTGTCTGTGAGAACCGTCAAAACTCAAAGATGGGAAAGATGAAAGCTACAGTTACTTGTTATCGGTGAGGCTTCTGATAATATGTCGTCGTTTTGTACATTCGAGGAGTTACTGGTCGCTACCATATCTTTGGTCTACATGGTTGACGTAATAGCTCAATTGTAAATTAGGGCGTAATTTAGACTGATCGAACGATGTCCGGTAAAGTGGGTAATAAGCTATTCACATCCGGAGGCAACAAAATGTTTTTGACAGATTGAAGGTTATGGCCATTTTGAATGTCTCCATGGTCTTTGCAAAGAATTTGGAATCAATCGCGCGTGCGTTCTCTATTTTTTTCATAAGTGCAATCTTTATAACTGTGAAGTGAGATGCATTAATAATAAGTTATGGCAGCCTTTTAAACAGATGCGAGCATAATCGACTCTAACTTTTAACTTTTGAGACATTGCTTTTCATCACATCATGATAGGCTCAAACGCGTCAAATATGCCTATTGGAATAACAAGAGTTACATTGATCACAGAGTGACGCAAATGGATGCTTTACCAGCATCAGTAATACTCTGCCCACACCAACCTCCTGGCTAGGACCCCAAATAAACCAAAGGAAAGCATAGGTCACCGTGAAAAAGGTGACTGTTGAGGATAGAAGAGGGGCCTATGCCTAGCACACATGGCCTAGGTCGTGCCTCACATATTCCATACTGCACTCTTGGGTCTGAGATGGCATCTACTTGGTATTGCTAAAAACTCTTCTTAGAATTAATAATAGCAGACTGAATCTGATCCAGTATGTGGAAATTACTATTTAAGAATTATAGTGGATGTAATTTATAATAATATAGAATGCGCTTATCTGTTCTGAAGAGGTATTCAGCAATGCCACACACCCCAACAATTTAGGGCAAACAACAATTTTATGCCTGGGTAAGATGAAAGGTATTTAATACTAGTACTTAGTACAATTGCAAGTATACAAGCTTTCCTGGATGTGGGATAACTGAAAATTGCACATTTTAATGTAACACCGCACCTACTGTGGAAGAGAAAATACTATTCTTCAAAGTCCCTTTTCGAGGGGACGCGGCAGATAAACTGCTGAAAAGACGCCTTGACTCAGTCGTTTCACGATCCATACCATCAGAAAAAGTTCGGGTATTATTCTTAACCAATCCTATTTTACATGGGAAAGCTAAGGATAGGTTACCAGCTCAGAGCACCTCCATGTGCATCTGCTCCTTATCTCATTCCTGTGGAGCAGGTTATGTTGGTCGTACGAGCCGGCGCCTATCAAAAAGTATAAAGGAAAACCTCCAGGCATGGCCGAGAAAGGGCGAAGTCAGGAGCATAAGCTGCTCTATTTTGGCGCGCACGGTTGATTCCAGACATCGGGTGGACCCCAACGACGGTTTCCGTGTGACTTAAAAGGTACCACCAAATTATCCAAAGCCTCTGGGTCAGCGTCTGCCAGCAACAGAAGCGACCGCTATCAGGTTGGTTGTGCCAAGTTGTGTGCGCAAAAGAACTTCTTGCAAGCCCCACATCTGATGTGGCCCAGAGTCACTTAGTGGTATGCACTCATCCACGCTCTGGTTGTCTCTCGCTTTTAAGAAAAGGCGAACACTATCGAGCGCTTGTTTAAATGTTAACCCTCCCATATAGATGTATTGGATTGAAGAGAATTTATCGAAGGTGCAAGTACGTTCGCCAAACTAGTCTTTTGAATTCTCTGATAGGAATTTTCGCAATTCTGAAAATATTAGATGACGATGACTTCAGGAAATCATATACCAAAATCATCAACTTTGTACCTGCCAAACGACATTCACGCCAGCGAAATTACTTAAGTCCTATGAGCTGATATTAAGAGTTACCGACAATGACAGAATTGCTCAACGCCAAAAGGCTAGGCAGTGACTATGTTATCGTTACATATCCTCAATCGGGTGTATACTATGCGGGTTTATTGATAAGTGATGGTAGCAGTTGTGCGAAAAATGACCTTGAGCACTCCTGGTTTTTGCGCCAACCGAATGAAATGCGTGATGGATGTTCACCACAGCATCGAGAGGACCAGCAAACGTAAACTAACGACGGCAGAAGTATCTGTGAACGCAAAAGGAGCAAATATTTGAACACGGGTAACTAGTTTGAAAAAAAGTCGTCGAGACGCAGGGCATTAGCGTCACAAACGTCAAGTCTCATTTCAAAAGCTGGATGTGTGCGGAACTTCTCTTTGCCAGCCAGGTTTAACGAGTCACGGAATGCACGCCAGGGTATCAGCTTTCGGATGAGCTTATTGACATTATCCTGCAGAAAATGTAATTGATATATAAGTTTGAAATGTTTTTAGCCAACCGTATATATTAAAATATGAACGTTGCCGGCAAAGAAAACGGCGTCTGGAATGACCATTGCTGGTTCATTAGCTGCTACATATTGTTTGTTGTACATGTTTAAATATTGCAATACGGGCATGCCAGGATAGTTAATTAAGATGTGAACATATTATTCGGCACAATGGAAACTTTAATGTGTAAATATTCGAGAGTGATTCCCCAGTTGGTCGTCAGACTACGCAGACGTAAGTTTAGATTAACGTATGCAACAGGAAAAACAATACGATCTCAGTTGTCTGCCACCGCCATGTTAACTGTCAGAAGTTAGTCTGTAGAGTTGGAGCCGTTAAGAAATTCGAGAAATAAGCGATAGTTGGTTTAAGTATGCGAGCGTATTTTCCGTTATCTAGCGTCTTAGTTTCAACTTTCCAAATGTATTCTGATCTACTGTTCCCTATTATTGAACGGCGTATTAATTTAGGCCCCGCAGTCATTGGTTAAGTCAGGTTAGATTTAGTAAGTGAACATAAGCAAATGCAAAGCATTTTTCCCCAGGTCTAGATTTGAAGCAGGTCAAAACAGCAGAATCGATTTTTTGAAAATTTAAATGGTGTGTTCTCTACTTGTTTCATTATTCATGCACAGAGAGGACGCAGTTAATAAGCTCTCTCGAAATTTATTGGCGCAAATAAATTCTGCTGCTTTGGCCTGCTTTAAAAATAAGTAAATGCCTTTGAACTCCCTATTGGTACACAACAGCTAATAAGTACATTGGTACAGTAGCACACTTTAAAAGAGGTCGTTTACATAACTGCAGACGAAAATCGGGCAGACACTGGTTCATTCGGAAAGATAAACATACACGACTACTCACTTGTTCCAAGTACCATAATCACACGTGCAAGCATGAATCTTGTTCTTCGGGTTATTGGGGATCCCAATTGACACGAGCCAGTAGATGGAACTGAGTAAAAAGAGCAGAGAGTGAAAAACTCCTTAGCTGTTGTACGGAAATTCTAGAAGTTTAAATGCCATTTGAGAGATTTTAAGGAAAAACTGTCGCTCAGGGAAAAAAGTATATACGAGATAGGACAGACGAGCTGATGCGAGTCCTCGAGGCAAGTCAGGTGGAGCCCGTGGTGGTTATTATCAATATCCTAAGGGCTTCAGGAGGAATAGACCACTGAGGTCACGAGACCATCACCGAAATGCTGGAGATGCGTCCATGCTACGCCCTCGCTGTTTGCCGAGTCTGCTGACAAGGTGACGAAAACAGAGGAACCCGCAACGATCAT